TAATTTTCATGTGGGGAACTACCCCACTGTTTAAGGGAACGTTGGTACCCCTACTCGGGTGCATGTCTGAAATAATGCATGGAAGGGCACCTGAGGTCCCAACAGTAAAGCAGAAATGTCACCATATGACCTGTACAGTATTGTTGCAACATTAAACCCAACACTCCTCCCTCCCCATACACAAATATTTAAAAAAAAAGATAATTACTTTAGTACTTGGCCTCTGAATATTAGTAATGGATTTGACCTTCTCTGACTTAAGAGCATTCCATTCACAGTTTAAGGGATTTCAAATCATAATTCAAAAACTGAAGTACCAACAGTACAGAGCCTGGATGTGAAGGCCGGTCTAGCTCTAGAGTGGATGCAAGGCTGGTCACTTGGTTCCAGTGAATTATGGGTTAAGAAGTATTTGAAAGTTAACCTGAAACTTGTGTACAGTTGTTTTAACCTTAACCCATTACGCCATATACACGCTTTTTAAACGGCTATTTCACCCCCCCCTCCCCCCTTGTCTTGTCTCAAATGTTTAAAAAATGCCTTATTTAGGCCCCCAACACTTAATTTTGTTTGAGAAATGTTGTTAAAAAAAGTGACCACTTTTTGTGCGTGGCCCCCAACCAAAAGATACATGAGGGGGTTGCCAGAAGGCGGATGTGCCCCCTTCTGTTTGGGGGGTTTGAAGGGGGGCAGTAGTCGCCCTCATCGCAAAGAAAATTTTGGACTTGTGAGAGGCTAAAAATGACCCCAGATTGATCATAAGGTAACGTGTAACCAACGCTGAAAAGCATTTGACTCTCTCAATCCATCAATTTTGATGGAAAAAATCAACGCAAAATAGTGATTTTTGGCAATTTTGAGATGTCCCCTCGTTGCCATGGTAAAAGAAAATTTAAGCCTGAGCATGTTGTTGCAAAGGCAATGGTCCAGTCAACATTTGTGCCAAGTTTGATTAGTATTGAAGCAGTTTTTATAGTATTATAGCAATTTGAACTTGTAACGAGAGACTTTTCAATGAAAACAGCCATTTTTCACAAAATGCTCATGAAGTAATGGGTTAAGGAGACTACAGGTCCTGCAACTTACCACTCATGATATCAATTCTGCCAAAACCAGTGTAGGTCATGGGATGTGCTTGCCAAAATTCCAAAGACAAACTACTTTGGTCAGTAGATCACCAGTTCCACCAATGCCAGAAGATGTTATTTTAGACAGCAGCTTTATATACATTTTGTATTTTTACTTGGCCAATTTGTCATGTCATTTAACCAGGACATGTTATAGCAAATAAACCGATGATGGAATTCACCAATAAAGTAACTATTGAAGTTGGTTTCAACTAGATTCCAAATACAGAATACCATGGTACTGTGTAAGAAACCTATTTTTTTTCAAAGTTAACATTGCTGTAAGTCCAAGCTTTCATACAACATGATCCCAAAGAAAGAATTCTAATTCCGGTATTGAATAATATATTTCACTAAAAGTTATATAAACATCTGTAAAGTCATGTTTTTACTCCTGGGTTATGGTTTCTTTTTATTGTTGAGCATGTAACATGCAATTCCATATAATATTTCTGTTACAATTTTTTAGTTTCAATAAAGCAGGGTCTTTCAATATTTGAAAGACCCCGAATAAAGGGACTAACTTCTTTTGAAATAGGCCATTTTGTAAGAATAAAAGGCTCAGGTTTAAAGAAGAATGGGAAAAAAGTCAAACCACCCTTTATTCATTCTTGAAATTGTACACATTGACTCAAGCAGAAGTAAGCTACATAAAATAAGAATAAATAATAAGGTATTGTTTACCATTATTGTGAATTTTATGCCCTTGAATTAATTTAGGGACTCCACTGAGGTTTAAAAGCCTAAAAACATAACATTAGATTTTTTTACATAAATGAACTGGGGCGCTTTAAACAGAAATATATGCAAAGATAGTTAAGAAATATACTTTAAAATAAATCGAAAATCGTAGTTTTATGCTTTTCTTAGCCTAATTTGAGTGAAAAGCGTTTAAAAGCGTGAAATCCATTAATCCAATTCATGGGCTGATAACTCAAAAAAGTTAACATTGTCCCCCATTTTTTCCGTTTCAAATGTTTCTGTTATCATTTTCTAACAATGTGGCAAGTTTAAATAAATTCTTTAGCAGTTTTAATTTAGTCTGTATATGTCTCTCAAACGTCTTAGTTTTTGTTATTTACTTCTATGGATTTCTTTGTGTTAGTTTCAGATTCTTTAGGTACATTAACCACACGTAAGTCACGTGATTCAAACCGCGGGAAAGAGTGTCTTTGTTGTTGGCGTGAAAATGGATGTTGCAGAACAAGTTGCTCGCACTAATCAAGTGAAGGATCAGACAGGAGAGCGATGCCAAAAGCTTTTTCAAGACTTCCTAGAAGAGTATGTTAAGTTTCTAAGCATGTCATGGCTATTTTCTGTCGTATATACTTTGTTTATTTTTGTTGGCAAGTTCTGGTCCACTCCTCTCGCACCTTTACAGCCATGAAATAATCACCTGAAATAATCTTGAGTATGGCGACTCCTTACTTAGTGGAGCAACAAACACATTTTTACCGGTAAAGATTTTGGTGCACTAGCTGTCACAATATATGAGTCGACCTGTTGAGCTTAATTTCGAAGGTGTGACTGTAAAATTGTGTTTGTAGTGTACCCACTGATTGGCTGGGAAAAAAACAAAATATTCTTAATTCCGGAGTATATTACCATTCAATGTTTATGTATAGCTTAGTCTTTTTAGTTTTTTGTATTTTAATGTTAAACCGTGTCAAGTTTTTTGGCAAAATTTATTCGGTCCTACTAAACACTGCTAAGGACTGATAAGGAGCCACAAAGGACTACTAGGGAGGCACAAAGGACCTTAAAATACCTCCTAGGGCATTCTTATAATACATGGTAGTATGTTTAGTGAAAAAAAAAAAAATTAAGAAAAAATATTATTTTGGTGAAAATTTTATGAGTTGCCGGACTGCTAAGGACTGCTCAGATACACAAAAGACTGCTAGGGAGGCACAAAGGACCTTAAAATACGACCTTAGGGCATTCTTGTAATACAAGGTAGGATGTTTAGTGACAAAAAATGTATTATTTTAAGAAAAATATCATTTTAGTGATAAAAATTTATGTTTTGAAAGAGTTGCCGGACCTCTAAGGACTGCTCAGGTGCACTAACAACTGCCAGGGAGGCACAAAGGACCTTAAAATCCTCCTAGAACAATTTTTATAATATATGGTAGTAGGTAATAGACAAAAATGTATTATTGTAAGAAAAAAATATATTTTAGTGATAGAAATTATGTTTTCGATGAGTTGCAGGACCGCTAAAGTGCACAAAGGACTGCTAAGGAGGCACAAAGGACCTTAAAATATTTCCTAGGGAGGCACAAAGGACCTTAAAATACCTGTGAGGGCATTCTTATAATACATGGTAGTATGTTTAGTGACAAAAAATGTATAATTTTAGAAAAAAATATAATTTTGGTGATATAATTTATGCTTTCGATGAGTTGCCCGACCGCTAAGGACTGCTCAGATACACAAAAAGACTGCTAGGGAGGCACAAAGGACCTTAAAATACCGCTAGAACTATTCTTATAATATATGGTAGTAAGTTAATGGACAAAAATGTATTATTGTAAGAAAAAATATAATTTTAGTGATAGAATTTATGTTTCATGAGTTGCAGGACCACTCAGGACTGCTAGGGAGGTACAAAGAATCTTAAAATACCTCCTAGGGGCACAAAGGACTGCTAGGGAGGTCACAAAGGACATTGATATACCTCCTAGGCATTCTTATAATATATGTGGGATGTTTTTAGTGAGAAAAAATGTATAATTTTAAGAAAAAATAAAATTTTGCTGATAGAATTTTTATGTTTTTTTCGATGAGTTGCCAGACCGCTAAAGGACTGCTCAGTAACACAAAAGACTATTAGCGAGGCACAAAGGAGACCTTAAAATCACTCTAGAACATTCTTATAATTATATGGTAGTATGTTTACGTGACAAAAATGTATATTTTAAGAAAAAATATAATTTTTTGTGATAGAATTTATGTTTTCGATGAGTTGCTGGACCGCTAAGGACTGCTCAGGTGCACAAAGGACTGCTAGGGAGGCACAAAGGACCTTATATTACTTCCTAGGGCATTATTAATATATATTGTAGTAAGTTAATAGATAAAAATGTATAATGTTAAGAAAAAATATAATTTTTCCTGATTAGAATTTATGTCTTTGATGAGTTGCAGGACGCTAAGGATTGTTAGGGAGGCACAAAGGACCTTAAAATACTCCTAGGGGCACCAAGGACAACTAGGAGGCACAAGGACCTTAAAGTACCTCCTAAAGCATTGTTTTAATACATGTTAGTATGTTTAATGACAAAAAATGTATATTTTTAAAAAAAATAAATTTTGGTGATAGAATTATGCTTTTGATGAAGTTGCAGGACAGCTAAGGACTGCTAGGGAGGCACAAAGGACCTTAATACTCCTAGGGCATTCTTGTAATATATGGTAGTATATTTTAATGACAAAAAATGTATTATTCTAAGAAAAAATATTAATTTTAGTAATAGAATTTATGCTTTCGATGAGTTTGCCGGACGCTATGGACCGCTAGGGAGGCACAAAGGGCGTTAAAGAACCTCCAAAGAAATTCTTTGTAATATATGGTAGTATGTTTAATGACAAAAAATGTATTACTTTTAAGAAAAAAGTAAAATTTTGGTGATAGAATTTTATGTTTTCGATTAGTTGGCTGGACCACTTAGGACTGCTAAGGTGCACAAAGAACTGCTAGGGAGGCACAAAAGACCTTAAATTAATAATAATTGAGTGTAATAATTCTATTTAATTTTGTTTAGTGAATCTTTCTTTTTTTTTTAATGTTATTTTGGTGTTGATTATTATGTTTTGGATGAGTAACAGGACTGCATAGGATGTGAAAATTGACTAGGTCTTTAAGTAAATGCTCTTATGTGAAGTGTAATCAATGTATCAAAGAATATCACTGTAGTGAATGAAATTATATTATGAAGAATTGAAAGACAGAACAATTTTAAGTTCAAAGGAAATCAGATGTAATAAATGATCAAATAGATAAATTTAACCATGTTACTGGTGCTTATTGATAGTCTAACTATGAAAATGTTACAAAAATTGCATTTTCTCCGGCAATTATGTATAAACAGTTGTCTCTAACATTCCGTCCCTATCATCAGTCACGACAAAACCAACAATAGTGCGTTTGTGACCAGCATGGATCCAGACCAGTCTGCGTATCCGCGCAGTCTGATCAGGATCCATGCTGTTTGGTATCAATTTCTCTACTTGTAGTAGGGTTGGTAAGCGAAACAGCATAGATCCTGATAAGACTGCGTGGATGTGCAGGCTGGTCTGGATCATGCTGGTCGCAAACCCATTATGTTGGTTTGTCATGACGCGGGCTCATATGGTGCTTACTTAAATCTCACAAAGGGAGTTTTATGCTAACATCTCCAAAGCGACTGATATTATTTTTTTCTACAAAAAATTATTTACATGAAATAGATTATATGTTACTCTAACCTTCAGCGGACAAAACAATTTATCACATAATATAAAGCTAAAAAATGAATTTCGGACAAATATAAATATATATAATGGAGCCTGCGTCATGACAAAACTAACATAATGGGTTTTACAACCAGCATGGATCAGACCAGCCTGCGCATCCGCGCAGTCTGATCAGGATCCATGCTGTTGCTATCAATTTCTCTACTTGTAGTAGGGTTGGTAAGCGAACAGCATAGATCCTGATCAGACTGCGTGGATGCGCAGGCTGGTCTGCATCCATGCTGGTCGCAAACCCATAATGTTGGTTTTGTCATGACGCGGCTCATATATATTTTTGTTTTTTGTGTTTTCAAAATAAGGTACTGAAGTGGACAGATGTAACAGAAATGAGCAAATGATTCTTTTTTAATTTTACAATAACACTAAACTTATCTTGTTCTTATGTTGTGTGATATGGAAGTAGTTAGCTTTTGCAACTGTATATAGAAATATTTCACACTAAAATCAAAAAGAATAATCTTAACAAAATAATCTCATCAGGATATATATTCACAGAAAACTATTGAAATAGGATATATAATGTTGAAGTGACATTGTGGTTAAAATTAGTCAATTGTTAAAACATAGATTCTTTAAGATCATTCTTTTTACTTCATTAATAAACAAATCATCTATCCCAGCCCCTCATAAAACAGTTGGATACAGACCAATTTCAGCCCCTCATAAAACAATGGGATATGGATCCTAACTATATATATACAGATGGGGCTGGCACATTATTGGAAGTTAACAAGCTGTATATTGGGAGCTGTGTATTGTATATTGGGATGTGTGATATATTACAAACCAGTGGGGGTGCCAATATAGGGTGATATACTTCAAAACAGTGGGGGGACTTTCTGTTAGAGAATGCCTGTTATTAAGTAAGCTGCAGTAGATCAATTAAGTCTAAATTAAGGATCTATTGAACATTATTTTTTTATTGGCCAAAATATATAGTCAATGAAAAAAACAACCAAAAAACAAAATATATTTCACCACCCTGAATAAAGTATTTGTCTCCATATTCCAGCACATTGTCATATCACTTGACCAATTTAATTATTATAAGAAATAGAAGAAGATCATAAGAAAAATGATTTTAATATATGGATATGACCTCAGTAATGAAAAAGTGATAATAATCAAAATTTGTTTGTAAGCAAAGTCCTAAAAAAATATTTTGAATCTGTAAATTTTAATGAATGATCAGCAGTCCATTTATACTGAAACATTAACATAGAGAACTATCAATACTGAGAAATAATGAACTTATAACACTGAATCATAATAACAGATAATAATGTTACTGACATTTCACATTAATAAACATAAAATTTCATCAATTGGTAGTAATTAATTACAACAATTTAAAAGCAGATCTGTAATTTTTTAAATGAAAATTTTATTTGTTGGTATTTAGTAATTAGAAATTCAAGCTTATGAAAACTTATAATTTACTTCAGTCTGTATAATATCTATTAAAAGAAAAATCTGATTATATCATATATTATTATTTTGTAAAATATATATAGAAAGTTACTGTCTGTATGATAATTTTCTTTAACCCAATGGAAATACATTATCTGAAAATAAAGAATCTTCCTTTCATTATCAATGTTTCTTATTCAATTCAGAACAGTTCATTCAAATGTCTATGCAACTTTTCATTTTGAAATATAAAAAGAAAGAAACTCCTTGATCAAGGAGCTAAATTCTATATATTTTTCCTGAAATTTGTTCTATTTGTTTACATTAATTGTACATTATGTACTATTTAAAGC